TAGTTTAGTCAATAGTACCATCAATCCAAAAATTAATTAACTTAATTTGCAATTTTGGAACAAAATTATTATCCAGTCCTCAAGCAATGAAGAATTGACTTGCAACAGTCAAAATGTTCATAATAGACACAAATTTGGGCCACAACATGCCTTGTCCACAATTTTGACAATTAAGAAACTTTTATTATTTTTTCAAGAAAATAAAAATATTTGGATTTTTTTTAGAGGAATCGGAAATTAGCGTCGAGAAATATTTTTTGGTTGAGAGAGTGAGAGAAAACAAGGTTTTAAAATATGAAAATTTGATGAATATCGAAATTATTCTGTGACCTATCGATTTTCACGCTGTAAATATCATTTCAGATCTTATATTTGCAACCACAAAATATTGGAGCAATATTAATTAGTTAATGAGCCCAATTAGTTTTTATACTAATTTGTTCTATTGCAAATATGATTTGTTGAAACCACCAAATTATAATTAATTGTCCATCTTTTCTACAATGATGGCTTGATAATTAGGTAAAAAGGGATTGTTTCAATATTTATATGGACTAAAATGTTTGCTTAAGATTGCAATTTTTTATGTGATGTTTAAAAAAAAAAAAACTAATATAAGAAAAATAGCTGGAAAGTGAAATCAATTGATTAAGAAAATTCGGATAAGGTGCTCCCTTAAGAAAAATACCTGGAAATTTAATAAAATAAAATAAATAAATCATGGATATAAGTAGAAAAGTTATATTGATTAAAGCTTTCCTCCAACTTAATTTTGCACTTCTATCAAGTTAATGTGTCTCTCTAATCAACCTGTTAACGATCTATAATTTAATTAAGTAACTCATCTTAACGTGAGTGAAAATAGAAACGAAATTCTGCATTCCGTCGATTTCGATGCGGAACCATTTTTCAATTCTACTTTTTTTCTTTTTTGCACTGAATGAGCCAAAATGGAAAATTATGCATGCAAGACCGGTAGTTTTGACGATAAGAATAAGGACTCGTTTGCTTATCAATATCAGATTAAGTTATATTAGAATGTAACGGATATTTCGAACTCCGTCAATTTTGACACGGAAATGTTCGATTTCAGATTTTTCTTTTCAATGAGTGAGCATAAATGGGAAATGATGCAAGGCGAGACTTGTGAAGTTAAGAATAAGGTCTCGTTTGCTTAGTTGTATTGGATTAGATTAGATTACATTAGATTCGATTGGATTAAATTTCACCTGAAATGGGCAAAAATGTGTGATATTTTATTATTTCTGATTATATTTGTGACAAATAGGGGATATTTATTATGAAAGAAATAAATTGAATCTAAAAGAGGAAAAATATAGCTGGAAATAAATTGAGAGCTCGATCATTGATGATTTAGGCCTACATGTACCTTCTTTTAGTGGGGCTGAAAATAAATAGTAATTACATATGGATCTATAAAACTTTAAATATACAATTAGTATAGTTGAAAAAGATATAAATATTAATTTAATTTGTGTATTATTCTATTGTAGAGTACCTTATTTACAAAAGGGATATGAGCTTCGTTCGTTACAATTTATCTAGAACTCCTAATCTAAATATAACTCTATCGTAATAATTCTAATTATACTAACATGAACACCTAGGGATGAGATTTGGAGTGTAATATTTTTCTATTTCGTGGATTTCAATTCGAAAATTTTCAATATTGGAAAACTATTTCATTATTGATGCTCGATTTTGATTTTTCCGAATTTATTGTTGGAAAGAAATTGGAATTTATATATATATATATATATATATATATAAGATTCCAATCCGATTTATTCATAAAATATTTCCAAAATTTACGAATATTTATTGTATATTTCAAATTATAAATGACTAAAAATGGAATTTCCGAACATCGTCGATCCCGATTCGAAAATTTGTGGTTTTGGAGCAATTGCTTTTGTACCAGTTTCCAAAATTCCGACTTTTCCAAATAACTTCTCATCAAAATTGGAAATTGTTTCTTTTTTCACTTCATAAAAAATATTATTTTTTTTCCCGAAAGTGCTAATTCTGATTTTATCTGATATATACAACTCCCACGCGGCCACGTCTATATCCAGCCAGTGTCGGAACCAACATAAGGCCAATGGGGCCAACGTTTCTAAAAGTCCCATTATTTTATATAGAAATAAAAAAAAATAGTGTATAGTAGTATTAACGTCCGACTTTACTCAATAATTTTTTTAATGCATTCGACCCCAGACATAAAATCCTAGATCAGCTAGTGTATACAGCTCAACATTCATGTGTCTAAGTGAGGTCTCCACAAACACATGAATTGTTTGAGTGGATTGAAGCAAATTGTATATATTGGTGGTCCGACCACGTGGCCTTATTGGTTTCAATTTCCAAAATTACATTATATCATACTCATAACATATGATCACAATCTAATTAATTCTTGGTCCCTCCCTCCAATATTAAAAAACCAATCATTAATTCAACATTGTTTGTCAATAATTATTTTTTAAAGAAATCACACACTTTTAACTTTTTATATATATAATATACATATAGTGATGTCATAAAATGAAATATAATGACATTATATAGTATGTAATCCCACTTCAACTATAGCCTTCAAGTAGGTGGTATATAAACCTAACCTCGAATTGACAATACAGAAATTCGAAACCCGAAACTCGAAACCCAATATATATGTGTGATGGTAGATATTATCATTTTTCCTGCCCTCGTTACTTCAAAATTATTTTATTTACTTCTAGATCACTGTATAATTATAAGCTCTCTTTAATCTTAATACATGTGTCGAAACCTTAACTGGCGTATGATATGAAATTGATATGTTTAAATTTAAAAATATATTATTCCACGCTTTTAACAACGTGGCTATCTTCTTTATTGTTTATTTCAAAAACCAATATTACCAGAAAAAAAAAATAATTAAAGAGAAATTAAAGAAAAAAAAAAGTAAATAAATACTAATTAGCAAACACACATAGGTGGTGTGGTTTTGGTGTGTAGAACAGTGACAGCATAGCGATGACGCGTGCGTTTCACGTGCGTGCACTCGTGAAAATTTTCTATTTCAAAAACCCTACCTCACAATTAACCCATGACGACCCCTCCTCTTTAATATATATATATATATATATATATATATAACCTCTAATATATATATATATATATATATATATATATATATATATATATATATATATATATATATATATATATATATATATATATATATATATATATATATATATATATATATATATATTTTTTTTTTTCTTTTTTTTTTTGAAAATTTTGAATATATATATATATGTTTCGGTCACCTAATTAATTAATTAATTTTCATCAATATATAGCAAATCTAGTTTGATTTTAATCAATTGACCAACAACGGGGCCATAAATTCTTATAATGAATGTATAATAATTATAATGTTTTAAGCAGACAATTCAGACTGGTCGATCAATGATTCGTCGTCGGTCGAAATCGCCTTTTCGAGGGTCAGAAAATGCCAACCCTTAATTGACACGTGGATGTACGGTTATAATTACAATTCGTAAGCGACCAATTCCAGTTTAGGTTGAACGCAGTCCTTCATCAGATATTAATCACGGTTTGGTTTCAGTTTAGGTTGAACGCAGTCCTTCATTAGATATAATTCTTCGTCGAATTTCATTTCGAAGGTGAGATTTGAAATTTATTATAACAAATTCATTGAATTTATTTGAATTTAATAATTGTGGTGGATGAATTACAAATTGAATTATTCATTCCCATTTGTGTTCTACTAGGAGGCCATGTGTTTGATATTAATTATATTATTGGATAATTAATTAGTAATTATGTACTAGCATTTGACTTTTTAATTATGTTAAAACGAAAGTCAAACATAGGGACACGATCTTAGAATAATGTGCATTTGACACCTGGAATTCGAAGGTTTGCTTGTATGAGAATCTGATCAGACTATATAAAATAAAAAGTGCTAGTGAACAAATAAAACTTGTATACTATATATCAAGTTTCTAAGATTCGATTTAATTTAGAGTAAACAACGGTCACTCCTGAGATAATGTCAAATTACGAAAAAAATCTTTCTGTTTGAGTAATTATAATCACATCTCTTAATTATGTGTCTTTTTACACGTACACCCTTATAGTGTTAAATTCAATATAATCTTCTCGATTATGTGCAATATTATCTAGTTTGTTCTCGTTTTGTGCAAAAAAAAAGTTTCTGATGCACCTCAATCTGATATTTACAAACCAATACACACATCTTATGATCATTATGTTCAAAATGTGAAGCCCGGATGTGGTAAAACAGGTACAAATTGCAGAATATTCCACATAATCTAGAAGATTCCACTAATTTTAACACCGCAAAAATGCACGTGTGAGACAATTCATAATTGAAGGTGATGGTTGTAATCACCCAAACATGAGGAGTTTTTTTTTGTAATTTGACCTTCCGTCAGGGGTTGGCCATAACTACCCTTAATTTAATACAATGCCAGAAAAAAAAAATTAAATATTGATCTAATTATTTAATATATTTTTAAATATATATAATACGAAAATATAAATTTGATTTATACGATTTCTAACCAACTAAATTACCAAACGTTAGGTGTCTTCTTACACGAAAAACACTATTCTGTTATACATGCATTTTTATACGACAAAAGACAGCTCAAATATTGACCAACTAATTATTTTTATTTTTTTCTTCATTTTTTTAAATAGGCCCTTCAATTTTAATTATTAGAAACAAGTAGTTTTGAGGGGTTAGTTTGCTGGAAAAAAAACAACTGTATAGGTTTTCTATGATAAAAATAAATATTTTTAATAATTAGAATAAAATAAGGGTGCTAAATGCAATAAACAAAAGTTGTGCTTTTGTCTAAATTAATTAGTAGTGGTAGTGAGAATTAGGTAAATCATCGAAGGAACCCTTTTTCACACACTCTTCTCTTTGAAAAGAGTATAATGCTACGTACACACTGGATGTAGAGAGAGAAAGTGACAGTAAAGGCAGATACGCATAATAATACATATAGAGAGAGAAACCGGCATTGTTGTCCATAGGCAAGCTAAGAAAAAAAAAAAAAAATAGCAAACGATCGAAAATCCTACTTAGATCTGCGATTGCCGATTTCCACTCGTTTCAACAACTCAGTTTTTCCAGTATCGAGAGAAACTCGTTGATTTTTCCGAACGGAACTCAGCGCTGATCCCACTGAGTCAACTTATTTTGCCCACTTGAATTTTTCCTCATTATTTCAGCATTTATTGCCTGTTTTCGCCTTTTTTTGGGCAGCTTGGAACTCGAATTTGGGGGTTTGGAATTTTCGCTTGCATTGTCGGTGTTCTGATTTGAATGGTGGTTTCCCGGCAGTGTTCGCCGGAGCTCCGGCGAGTTACCGGAAGATCTCCGGCAATTTTTTGACGGATTGGATTGCTGATAATGCGGAATTGAGTGTTGAATTAGGGGAAAATGTTCAAGGCGGGGCGGTGGAGGAGTGAGAAGAACAAGGTCAAAGTTGTGTTCAAGCTGCAGTTTCATGCAGCTAAGGTATATGTATATGTATATATATATATACGCGCACACACACACACACACACACACACACACACACACACACACACACACACAGATAATCACCTGCTTACTGTGTGTTTGCATAGTATCTAGTGTGAGCATTTTCGGTTCTGTCTCGATTTGATCTGGAAATGCATTTCGACATTGAATTTTATATTGTGAAGTGCTGTGATTGTTTAAATCAAAGCTTAAATTCATATGTTCAAGTGTTCGTTTCTAGTTTTTTTTCTGATTGCATTTTGAATAATTGAGCAATTGAAACATAACAAAGGGCAGAGATGATTAGAAGTGTTGTTTTCCTGCACTTTTTTTCCCTCGAATTTTTCGATATAAAAAAATGTTAGATACTAATTTCTTGAAATTGCTCGAAATTATGTCGAAACATTAGGTACTGCAGATTGGAGAAGATGCATTAATGATCTCTGTTGTTCCTTCTGATATCGGAAAGCCCACAGTGAAATCAGACAAGGCATCGGTTCGAGACGGGAGTTGTTTCTGGGAGAATCCCGTGTATGAAACCGTGAAATTCAGTCGAGACCCGAAATCAGGAAAGATTCATGAGAGAATATACCATTTTGTTGTCGGGACGGTATGAAATTAATACAATACAAAAATTAAAACAAAAAAAAAGAAGATAATTATGCTTTGCTTTGCTGCCAAGTGATTATGTAAGGCTAAAAAGTACTTTTAATGGTGGCATTTTCAGGGGTTATCTAAAGCTGGAGTCATCGGAGAAGCTTCCATTGATTTTTCGAATTATGCAGAGTCAAATAAGGTCTCATTGGTCTCTCTTCCTTTCAAGACTTCGAAAACCGAAGCTATATTGCACGTAAGTATTTATAGAGATTCGTGGTAAATCTTTCATAGAGTAGCGCTTCGGTTTTTTGGAATTTATGGTGGCTTAATTGGTAATAAGTTATTTCTGTCTTTGGAGTTTGGACTATGTGCTCCTGTTTTGGTTTTTATAATTTTTTTAATTTGTGTTTATGTATGACAACAGGTATCAATACAGAGGATGAATGAATCCATTGATAACAGGTGCAGTTGAATACTAATATCATCTCTTACTTCACATTTTGCATCCATGGATTGATTATTGAATCAACATTTTTTTGCCTGTGTGCTGTATTGATCTCCACAGAGAGGTAGAAGAAACCGAGAATGCAAAATCGAATTACAAAGATCACAGCTTGAAGGCACAATTGGACAATGGTGATCTAGATGGAACCATCAAAAGCAATTCCGATGTAATTTCGTCTTTCGTAAATGCTTACACCATCGATATTTCTTCACACAGCATCTATAATTATTTACGTGCTTTTTCGGGTTTTTTTAACAGGAGCTGCCATCTAATAAAACTGTTGCCCACATTGCTGAATTGAACGGGAATCGAAGGGCGTCCAGTGGATCCGATTTAACAATGTCGAGCTCCGATAGCAGCTGTGGAATCGAGATACCTTGGCAGCCACAAATGAAAAACGAGATCACAAATCAACGGCTCAGATCGAAATCCGATGCTCAAACACCACTAGTACATTGGGAGTCTAGTACAGACGATTCTTCCATCACTCCAAGAGGAGAAGCCTTTTTTAGGCAAGAATTGGAAGATCAGTCTTCAGATATTGTGATCGATAAGCTGAAATCGGACATTTCTGCCTTATCCAGACAAGCAGAGATGTCCGAATTGGAACTGCAGACGCTCCGTAAGCAGATTGTGAAGGAGAGCAAAAGAGGGCAAGATCTGTTTAAGGAACTCGTTTGCTTGAAAGAGGAGAGAGATTCTTTAAAGGGAGAATGTGAGAAGCTCAGATCAAAGACGAAAACAAACTTACCGTACGAGGGAGGTGATTCCAAAACCATTGTTGAAGAACTCAGGCAAGAATTAAATCATGCAAAAGAACTTAATTCCAATCTCCAAATTCAGCTCGAATTTTCGCAAGAATCGAACAATGAATTAATTCTTGCTGTGAGGGACCTTGATGAACTGTTGGAGCAGAAAAATCGGGAATTATCGAGCGGATCATCATCGACAAAAGCTGTTAATGAGAAGTTGCAAGAACACGAAAATGACGATGATGAAGAGCAGAAAGCTTTAGAGGAGATTGTGAAGGAGCACGGTGATTCAAAGGAAGCCCATCTTCTAGAAAGACAGATAATCGACATGCGTGGCGAAATCGAGATTTACAAGAGAGATAGAGATGAATTCGAGATGCAAATGGAGCAGCTTGCACTCGATTACGAGATCATGAAGCAAGAAAACCATGAAATGGCGTATAAGCTTGAGCAGAGCCAGCTCCAGGAGCAACTGAAGATGCAGTACGAGTGTTCGTCCACTTATGCTTCTGCCCAAGAACTCGAAATGCACATCGAAAACTTAGAGAGTGAGCTGAAAAGACAGTCGAAAGAATCTGATGATGCGTTGGCTGCAATAAGTGAACTCGAGGATCGTGTGAAAGACTTAGAGGAAGAGCTCGAAAAGCAGTCGCAAGTGTTCGAATCTGATTTGGAGACGCTTATGCGCTCAAAAATCGAGCAGGAGCAGAGAGCTATAAGAGCTGAGGAAGCATTGAGAAAGACACGGTGGCAAAATGCTGACACAGCAGAGAGGCTTCAGATGGAATTTAAGAGGCTTTCTGTCCAGATGGCGTCTACTTTTGAGGCCAACGAGAAGTTAGCTACCAAATCTCTAGCCGAAGCAAATGAGCTCCGTTTACAGAAAAACCATTTGGAAGAAATGTTGAGGGGTGCTTCTGAAGAACAACAATTGGTTAAGAGCCATTACGAAGAGGAAGTTTCGAAGCTTAAAGATGAGATAATTGGTAAGGAGAGTTTGATCCGTGAATTGGAGCAAATGAGGATATCGGTTCAGGAATTGGATTTGCTTGTGAAGCAAGGAAATGATGAAAGCATTGCACTCGAGAAGAAGATTATGGCGACGAATAGTGAAGCTGAAGAGTGGAAAAGGGAGTTGAATAAAATGAGATGTCTTGTGGAAGAGAAAGAATTGGTGGTTGAGAATTTGCAGTTGGAGTTAGATTCTCTTCGATTGCAGTGTACAGAGTTGAAGCAATCTCTGTCAGAGAATAACTTGGAGAAGGACAAATTGAGGAAGCAAGTGTTGCTATTAAAGGGTGATTTAAAGAAGAACGAAGATGCACTTGTTAAGATGGAGAAGAAGATAAAGGAAGGGTTGAAAACTAGCAAGCCCGTTTCTCGTGCTCTGAAAGAGGTTGCGAATCTCAAGGAGAGAATTAAGTTGCTCGAGGTAAATCTGCTCTTAAATGAGTATATTCGTAATACTATTATACAGTGAATTCTTTCTCAATGGTGCTCCCGAATATTTTGCATATTCACACTATTTTGTTACTACAGGATCAGATAAAGTTCAAAGAATGTGCTCTGGAAACATTAAATAATGCATTTTTGGAGAAGGAAAAAGATCTTCATAACAAAATCGGAGAGTTAGAAGAGAGACTTGAAGAGATCAACCAAAAAAGTATTGATTATTCCGAAAGTGAAGCCGAAAAGGTTAATTTTTATTTTTTTTTTAAATTCTCCAATTTGGGAAACACATTGAACCTGACTATATATATCACTCTTGAGTACAAAAAATCAGCAGTTATACTTAGGAGACCGAGATAGCAAAAATCGACCGTTTTACTGCTAAATTACGATATTTTGCTCATTAACATTTGTTTGATTTTCACATTCGTCTCTAAATATTGAATAATCAAGAGGGTTTGGATTTGCAGGCAGCTGCACTTGCAGAGCACCGGGATCAAAATTTTACGTTGACCAAAGAAGCAAGAAACAATGATGAAGATTCAAACAGGTATAAATTTAGTGTTATATACATAAAAAAAGACGATTTCCATCTAATGTATTTAATGCATTTGCAATTGCAGCAAGGATAACGAATCACAAGAGGGACTAAAAGGTTCGGCGAATAATAATAATAGCGGAGAAGTTGATGAATTAACAAATGAAATGGAATTAATGAAGGAGAAGAACAAATTAATGGAGGAAGAACTAAAAGAGATGCAAGAAAGATATTCGGAAATAAGTCTCAAGTTTGCTGAGGTGGAAGGCGAACGACAGCAACTTGTAATGAGAGTACGGAACCTCAAGAATGCAAAGAAGAGAGATCATAATTTACCACCCCCACAAGCTTGTTCTACTTAGTACATTATAGGTAAAAATTAATTAACCATGGGACACTTTGAATTGACATATATATTTATATTTTTCGAGAAATAAATATTTTTGTAAATTTGCTATATATATGTTTTTCTTTTGTCGGAGTATATCGATCGCCGGTTTCTTCGGTTTCGTTGAATGTAATAGAAAATCGAAAAGGGTCTCTTCTTCTTCTTGTTTCGTACTTTTTTTTGTTATATATGTAATAATTAATATCGTTTTATGTTACTAGTGATCACTTGTAGAAACTGGTGAAGTTTTTGTTCATATGAATACATTGCATTCTTCCTCTGCCTGCATTGTTCAAATAACCCTAATAATTAGGGTGAGTTGTGGGCAAAATTGAATATTAATTTAGACCATAGTGCCCAATATCTCTTTTTTTTTTTTTTTTTTTTTTTGTCAATAAGCAACTATTTCTATACAATAATTATACCAAATTCCCATAAATGTTGGAATTCGATCCCGCTGCAAACTTGACGATTTTATCGACGAACATTTGGTGGCTGAGGCATGAATTTTTTTTCGCTATTTTTATGATGAATTGCACGAACCCCTTTGATTAAGCAAAGAACAACATTGTCGCATATCGTATTCAACCAATACCATCAAGAGCTCAACACCCAACGATATATGCATGTAATTACCAACAAACTCAAGCCCGTTATCTTAACAGGCTGTTAAGTCACTGTAATTTACATTTCTCCATGAAAATTCTATCGGAACAGGGGATAAGGACCCTGAGCGCGAAAAATAAAGAAATTCGACTTTTGGTGCAAGTCTGTTCTTGGTTTTAAAACAAGTGATTAGACATTAATCAAGTCAACCAAACTCATCCCAATAATCAATGTGTTGACCATTTGATGACTTAATTAATGAAGTGAATTATGATACCCGGATCAAAGACTATCTCAAATAAACAGGTCAAATGTCATCATTTTCAAGATTTTCGAAATAAAACATCATTAAATGCTGTCTCAACTAATTGATTCATTGCATTAGTTGAACATGCTTCTTATAGAAATGGTAATAATTGTGTAAATTATTTTGATTTGGTATGTAGACATTGCTTATGACGTCTTTTTTTTGTGATAGTCTATTAATGTATTATTTTGATAATGACGGCTAAAGATTTAAATTCAAACGTTAATGCACCTTTTTGAGGTGTGATGAGGCATTTTTATTATAAAAAAAAAAAAAAAAATGTGACGTGGAAAAATCCCTCAATACTAAAATTCTAAAGTATCATGATATTTTTTTTAATTTCTTATAAGTGGTATTTTCCCAAAAAAAAACGGCTCGTTTATGTAGTAATATAGAAGAAACACAACATTCTTGTTTTTATTTTTTTTTACGTTTTAACTTATAATAATCAATTAATCACAGACTCACAGTGTAGGAACCCTTATCCAGTTATCCTATAGATCAAATGCGTAATTAACTAATTATTTAGTTTATAATAATAAAGTAGTGGTTAATTAATTTCATATAATATGATTAGCCAAGAGTACGTACGTGATTATGAGAAGGACTAAACTATAGTTTGCAATTAATTATGTAAACTAATAGACTATACCAATTCTTATCTGACTTATAAATACATCAATTTAGTTTGGTTTGGTTAAGGTTAGTACTCTAGTTAGCTCTACATCAATTTAATATCTTTAATTCCGTCTATTTAAGCTCAGGTAACATACGGAAAGTTAGTTGCTACACCTGATTATTTACATCAGATATAAATAATCACCCACTAAACACACATACACACATACACATATGTGTGTGATTATGTATAAATCTATGATTGAAATCTATTCAGTGTAAATAACCAAGTGTTGTAATATTTAATTATCGGTAAAATAAAGTTGGTTTAGTATTTAGTATAGTTAGGTTGCAGTGTTAAAAAATATCATAAATTAGATTATTAGTGATGAGCTAATGAATGATTCCAAATTATGCATCAAAATTTTATAATACCACTTTTGAATGTGGTCCATTATTATCTTAATTAATAGCTTGACAAATTAAGACATATCCGTAAAATTAGGTACATAACCATATATAGTAGTAATTAATTAGTCCCATTCAAATTAATTAAACTAAAAATATACTAACCATGAAAGTTCACATGAAGTTCCTTCTTATCAAGACATCCTTTAATTTAATTCTTGATTCTTGATATCTGTTTTCTTTTCACCCAAACTTTATCTATTCCAAATATTTCAAGTGTAAGACTTTAAATGTAATTTCGCCTACATTTGAAGGGGCGTAATGAAGATATTAATATTAAATGATACATTTCACTAACAGCTTAAACTTTTAGTTGAGATAGTCATTCAACAGTATCAATAAATTAAAACGTGGATTAATTATTAATTTGTAGCTATAGAAACTTTGCTCATTGCAGCTATCTATGCTTGCATTGTTTCTTATCAAAGTTTTAATTCATGATCATACATTATACTTAGTTAAAAGTGTTGGCGCCAGATTTCCGAGTATTGAAGATCAATGAAATCCGCCGAGTTTTGGAATTAAAAGATTGGCAAAGATTTGTTTTCCATGTTTATTTTGGAATTTATTAGAGTCATATTTTATAATACTTCTATTAGGACTTAGATTTATTTCCATATATTTTATTCTAGTTAGGTATCTTTTGTACTTATCTAGAATAGAAGTAGAGATCAACTAGGATTCTATTACCTAGTTAAATAGATTTCTTGGGGTTCAAGTTAGGTCTTAGGGCTTATTTTCGTGGCTATATAAGCCTCCAAGACATACAAGAAGCGTGCGCATTATTTGGAAGGAAAACCACTTCATAGCGTCGAAGGTTTGCTAAGGCGTTCTGCGGAGCAGGACTGTGCCATCGTTGCACTGTGTGTGCCAATATATACAGATCTGCTGTATAGATCTCAAGGGAGATCAACCGCGTTTCTGAAGGGAGTTCAGGCCTGAAGGGAGTTCAAGGCACGCGGTGTGGAACTGCTGTTGGAAGAGACACGGAGTTCAAGTTGTGTACAAGAACGGCATAAAGAATTAAAGAGGGAGTCTTAATTATTTTAATAAGTCCTATTAATGTACACTGTAAATCTGAACTAGTGAAATCGTGTTTGCAGGTCCACGTGGATGTAGGGCACATTTGTGTCTGAACCACATTAAATTCTTGTGTTTGTTTACTCGCTTTCAGTAGTTTATAACTGTGTTAACACAAGAATTGTAGTTGTAACTGCATACTGTTCCCACGACAACTGTTACAACTTAGGTTAACAGATTTTCATAGGCATTTAAAATCAACAAAAAGTTATATTTAACGTTAATATTTTGTCGAAATAAAAACGCGCGAAAGCATACAATTATACTAATTAATCAAGCTTTTGTTCATTGTATACGTTTCTAATATAGATTTATTTATATTGCTTGCTTTAAAGCATGCATCTCCAAATGGAGTATTCGATTTTGATATTATACGAATTATTTATTTTTAATTTCTAGTAATTAATTTTTATTAAAGTATCAAAATTTTAAAAAGAAATGATGATGTAACTGCGTGATCGCCAAAATCTTGTTAGGTATACACTCGTTAAAAACATGAATACAACACTACAATATTGCAAATTAAATGCGAGTTTTTTGCTATCATGCATCGGCTCGAAAAATTCTATGTTACACCCAGTTATTTACATCTGATAATTATTAACCGTAAATTTTCACATAATTACACACACCCATGTGTGTGTAGATTTAGTGGGAGGTTCTTGAACACCAGTTAATAATCATTCGGTATAAATAACCAGATATGGCATAGAACTTCGCGGCCGAGTGTGTGTGTGAAAAATAAAACTAATTAATTTCTTCATGAAATAGAAACATGATTCAAATTTAATTCACCTACAAAATTATTTACATTTTTGAGCCACATCAAATTAATGAAGCACTTGCACCAAAATTTATCAGCATCCCACTAATTTCCCTTTTTGCCCTCTCATAGCAAAAAAGAAAAAAAAAACGTGTTGTTTTGCTTTTCAACACGTTTTTAATTAGAGCTTATTATTGATGGAGCCATAAACTGTAACAAGAGCCATAATAAGAGATTGGTCAACCTGTGGTTCAACCGTTAATTTCAGTACATCTTCTCCCAATGCCACTCCTAATGATTGTTTTCTTACAGCCTATACATACACACACATTAAACACGTGTTAATTACCATTCCAAAATTATTATTTAAAAAAAAATTAAATTAAAATTAAAAAAAAAAAAAAAAAAAAAAAAAAAAAAAGGGTTTAAGTGTACCTCGGCAAGAAGCTGGCCGGAAAAGTCGATAATCTTGAGCGTCGATTTTCCTTCTAATCCTATGATTCGATAGTAACTTCCCATGTTTTCGTCGAATTTAAGGTTAACTCTGCAAGATAATATATCTCTGCTAAATATTCGTCGATTTCTTCTTACTTGAAAACATGGCCTCCCCTTGTTTTTAATACCCTTTGAATTGTTACTCCATTTTATACCTTCCCAACATCCAAATATTCCTAGCTTCTGCAAAAAAAAAAAAAAAAAAATTTAAATATAAATATAAAATATCATCAAATTAGAATAAACAAACTTTTCTATTTATAGAAGAAAAGAAAATCTATATATAATAAATTACCTTTCTCTTTATGGAGAACAAAACTTTGCCACTCGAATCCATGAGAAAGACTTCACTTCTGCACCTTTCTTGATAATTATCGACACGAAAAACGACTTCACCCCCCGAGTTATAGACGGTGCAACCATTTCCATGGAAAACGAGCGATTTCATCCAAATAGTAAAAGTTTCTCTTTCTAACGAACTACAAGAGCTACTAACACTACTATACCGATCGATAAATTCGGATGTATTTTCGCCATTGTGTGTGTGTGTTTTTTTTCTTCTTAATTATGGATATTTTTTCAAGAAGAACTCTCACAAAAGATTAGTCTTGATGTGAATTATTATTGCCCATATATATAGAGAGAGAGAGAGACAACAAATAAGAAACCCTAGGGACAAATTAAAATGTGGCAAAAAAGCATTGACTTAATAATCATCACAAATTTAGAGCTCCTTAATCACTCCAAAAGGTGATCTGATTGGGTAATCATTATTAGTTTAATTAATTAATTAATGATACACGTCACGCTTTAGTTGGTGGCTCTTTTTGCTCTTTTGCTTTATTTTAATTAAAAGTAGATTAAGATATTTTATATAGTTAGGCGCAAAGAAGCAATAATTTATATATGTAGCCCGCAATTTAAATTTTGTTGGCATTTGAATAATTTAATTGTGTTGTTCATGTCATGCTTCCTTCTTATCAACTGTACGTACGTGGTTCTGATTTAAGTAACCATGCAATAATCATGCTATATTTTATATTTATTAAGCCAATGTTGACTAAAATAGGCTTCTTCGTAATTGTTTTTTACTCGATAGATCAAATATGTACGCATTATATATATATATATATATATATATATATATATATATATATATATATATCTGAAATGTTAAATGTCGTTTCAATTGTAGTAATGTTGTTTTGACTTCGAACATGATTTTGACATATTTCTATTTTGATTTTGGCAAAATTCGAAATACGGAAACAATAGTCCTTTGGATTAACTTTCTAATCCAACTTAAATCCGGTAGATTGGATGGCGTGTGACAAAGTTATGCATGAATGAGTCACATTTTGAATTTTAGATATATCAATACATCAAAGTTGTGGGCAGTATCCATTTATTCATGTCCACCTTTCTCGCGCGACATCCAATTTTGGTGATTCAAGTTGGATTAGAAAACTAACTCATAATACTACAAATTCTATTTTTCGGGTTTTGCAAAATTTGAAATTAAAAGTGATCAAAATCACGCTTGAAGTCGTAACGGTATTATTAAAGTTCGAACGTCATTTATCACATCAACTTTTGAGGTCCTATAAGTGGTATCATAGTTAAGGAAACAGGCTTGATTCCTAGTTGGACAATTGGTGAGGAGGAAATTGTTAGCATGGGTTTGACATCAATATTCGTCCACGTGAAGAGGCGGGTATGGACGGACCACAATCGAATATGAGGGCGCTTGTATGTGCTGAATGCACTATAAAATTAGGGTTTGCACCTTGCCTGAATACACCAATTGCTTGTCCCACAATCGAATGCAGTGGCCCCGCTTATATATATGTTGAATACACTATAATATATAGTAGGATTTGCGCCTTTCCTAACACAATATTTTTTTTTCCTTTGGTAATAAACGAGCTCGCAGCCAACCATATAGGTGTCATGGGTAAATAACATACACTCTCGTAAAATAACTTACAAACCATACGAAAGACGGCGTAAATCACACTAGGTTAAAAAAATGCTTCAGGTCAGGGGCGCACCCATGTGTATGCTTGGGGTGGCCCCCGCCCCTAGATTTTTTTTCAATTTTGTACACTTTAGATCATCAAATTTTTACCCAATTATCAATCAGCAGCCAACAATTATATATATTTACCAAAAAAGTTAGTCTTAGGAAACGAAATAAACATTTTGACTCATAAATATGGAGTTTTTTCAGTCTTGGAAAACGAGATAAATGTTGATTAATTAAACTAAATTTGAATTCAAATAACTTTTTTCCACCAAATTAATTTTTTTTTTTAATTGTCTTTGTTTCTAGAACTGAAAAGATGATATCATCATAAAATAGAGCAATTTTGTTCTTCAATTGGAGCTGTGTCGGCAATAATTAACGTACTATATTAAGAAACTATTTAACATAAATAATTAAATATGACTATCTTCCAGTTAGTAATTTTCCATGCACAGAGATAATTTATTAGTATTATTTAAGTGGCTGTCGTTGGAATTCCTTAGTCCCTTCCTCCCTAC